TTTTTTGTATTTTTGTGTTAATCAATGAATTTATTTACCAAATGTACTACACATGTAAAATTTCATTGATGAAATACAAATTTGAATCTTTTGTTTCAAGATTTCTGTGTTGAATGTTTAGTAAGTCACTGTTTACAAACGATTAGTAACGACCTGAACACTAATAAGATACACGTTAACTGTAAAACTTCCTAAGATTATGTATGTTCCAAATAAATGGTAATGGGTGACCTTGAAAATCTGCCAACTGGTAAGACCCAGGTCGCTCGATGGAAACAACCATATAAGGCCCTTCCCAATTAGGAGCGAGCTTGCCCATGTGTGAATAGACATTGGTTAGTCCAGCTTTACGTAGAACCAGATCACCGACCTGAAACTGTCGAGCTCGAACTCTTTTGTTATAGAATTTTGCAACACGACTTTGATCTGCCATGTTTCTAATTCGAGCCATTTCCCTGATTTCCTCCACTAGGTCTAGGTTCTCCCTTAAGAGTTGCCCATTATTCTGATCGTTATGACGATCTGATCTAGCAGATGGTAACCCGATTTCAACAGGGATGACGGCCTCAGCTCCATATGCCAGGCTGAACGATGTTTCACCTGTGGCCGAGCTGGGTGTGGTACGACATGACCATAGTACTTTATTGAGCTCGTCAACCCAATTAGTATGTGCAGCCAAAACACGCGTCTTGAGGCCCCGTAGGACGATTTTATTAGCGGACTCAGCTTGTCCATTTGACTGTGGAGTATACACAGATGTCAAGGCGAGCTCAATGCCATAATCGTTACAGAACGACCTCAAAGCTGTGGCTCGGAACTGTGGGCCATTGTCAGCGATGATCCGTTTGGGTATGCCGAACTTGCATAATATTGAGTTGAACAGGAATTCTTCTATTTTCTTTTCTGTTGTCGTGGACAATGGTTTAGCTTCTATCCATTTAGTGAAGTAATCCACTGCAACGACCAAGAAAGTGCAGCCTCCTTTGCCTTTGATGAAAGGGCCGAGCAAGTCGACACCCCATTGAGCAAAGGGCCAGGGAGACGTAAGAGAGGATAGCATTTCCCTTGGTATGTGTATATCATCAGCGTTGAACTGGCAGGTCGGACATTTTTTGACATAGTTCTGCGCGTCCTCGACCATAGTGGGCCAGTAATAACCATGCCTCAGGAGTTTCCGAGCTAAAGTTTTGCCACCGATGTGCGTGCCACATACTCCTTCGTGAACTTCCCTTACAGCGTATTCAGCTTCATAAGGAGTAAGGCAGCGTAATAGGGGCATTAAGGCTGCCCGCTTGTAGAGCTGATTATCTATCAAAGTGAAATGTGCCGCCCTGCGTCTGACCAGCTTTGCAACGGATTGGTTTTCAGGCAGTTCGCCACTTTGTAGATAATTTATGAGCGGGGTGGTCCAGCTCGGTGTAGAGGGATCTGTGCTTAGCAGTTGACACTCGACTGTGAAATCAGTGTAGCTCGGTGCGTCGAGTACCTCGACAATTGTTGATCTCTGAGGGTTAATGTCCTGCGATGAGGCCAACTTTGACAGCTCGTCAGCTCGGTGGTTATCTGCTCTTGGTATTTTATCAATTTGGAAAAGGACAAATATCGACTTTAATCTGTTGACCACAGAGGCATAACGACTGAGCTGGGGATCCCTGATGTCACAACTGCCCTTCACCTGGCCCACAACGAGTTTAGAGTCGCTGAAAACCTGAATGCTTTGTACCTTCAGCTCGGACGCTAGCTTAAGTCCGTAAATGAGGGCTTCATATTCTGCAGCATTATTAGTCGTCTGAAACTTAAACCTCAGCGCGTGCTCAGACCTAAAGCCATCTGGGCCTACTAACACAGCCCCTGCACCCGCTCCTTCAACGTTAGCAGCTCCATCAACATACAAAACCCAGATTGGTTGTTCAGGTGCTTTTTCTTCTTTAGTCGACGAGATGCACTCCACCAGAAAGTCTGCAACGGCCTGGCCTTTTATGGTTGTGCGCAGCTGAAATGTGAGGTCATATTCACTCAGCTCGACGCTCCACCCAATAAGCCGACCAGAGAGTTCAGGTTTCTGCAGTATTTTTCTCAATGGCAAATCGGTATAGACAACAATCTGATGTGATTGGAAGTAAGCTCTCAACTTACGAGCTGTGTAAATTAAGGCAAAAGCAGCCTTTTCTGCTAGTGGGTAGTTCTGCTCGGCGCCTTGTAAGACCTTGCTCACATAACAGATAGGCTTCTGATTCTTATTCTCTTCCCTGAGTAAGACCGAGCTAATCGCCTCTGCTGTAACCCCTAAATACAGATACAAACTCTCCCCTTCCACAGGCTTGGACAGCAGGGGTGCTGATGCCAGGTATCGTTTGAGCTCGTCGAAGGCTCGCTGACACATATCGGTCCATTGAAAGTTCTTGGGCTCTCGCAGGGCCTTGAAGAATGGAAGGCATCTTTCTGCCGACCTGGCTATAAACCTGTGCAGCGTAGCAACACGGCCCGTCAAACGCTGCACTTCTTTGACAGTCCATGGCGGCTCCATCTGCTGAACGGCTTCAACCTTTTCTGGATTTACTTCAATTCCTTTCTTTGATACCACGTATCCCAGGAATTTTCCCAACTCTACAGCAAATGTGCATTTCAAGGGATTCAGCCTCATTTGTGCTCGGCGCAAGTTTTGAAAAGTTTCATCCAAGTTGCCAATGTGATCCTCAGCTCGCACGCTGGTGACTATCATGTCATCTACATACACTTCTATGTTTCTGCCGATCTGGAGCTTAAAGATGATTTGTACCAGCTTCTGGTATGTTGCTCCAGCATTTTTGAGGCCGAACGGCATCATGACATAGCAGTATATCGCGTCACCAGCGTAAAAAGCTGTTTTTTCCTAGTCGTCTAGCAACAGCTGGACCTGGTGGTAACCCGAGCTTGCGTCAAGAAAACTCATCCGTTCATGTCCTGCTGCCCGTTCTACTAACTTCTCTATGTTTGGCAAGGGATGAGGGTCTTTTGGGCACGCATCATTGAGGTTGGTGAAATCAATACACATCCTCCACTTGCCATTTAGCTTTTTGACGAGCACAAGGTTGGACACCCATTCAGAGTACTCCACCCTTCTAATGAAGCCTGCCTGTAACAACTTTTGTATCTCCTCGTCAATGGCAGCTTGCTTCTCGGGGCCAAAAAGGCGGCGTTTTTGCACCACCGACCTTTTGGTGGGGTCTGTGCTGAGCTTGTGGACTGTCAATTCTGCCGGGATGCCAGGCATTTCACCCGTAGTCCACGCAAATACGTCCTGATTATTCCTCAGGCATTCCAGAAGTTCTGCCCGCTTTTCCCCTGTGAGTTTAGTGCCGATCTTCACTTTTCTCTCCGGCACATCCGGGTTTAAAGGCACCGTTTCCACTGGCTCTACTGGCTCTGCCTTCTGCTCAACGCTTAGAGGTCGATGCTCAATGTCTGATATACTCATTGTCTGTTGACCGAGCTGGGTTGGCTTGCGACCTTCAGCACTCGCCGGGGCTGCGGCGAGCTCGACCTTCTTGAACGTGTCTTGATAACAAGTTCTAGCCATCTTCTGATTCCCTTTCAGCACTCCTACCCCCTGAGGAGTTGGGAATTTCATACAGAGATGGGGCTATGAGATAATAGCCTTCAGCTCGCACAAAGTGGCTCTTCCTAATATAGCATTGAAAGCTGATTCCATCTTCACGACCAGGAAGGTGACGGAAGCCATCCTGAAGCGCGGTTCTGAGCCCACATATATGGGAAGAGTTACAACTCCCTCAACCGGGACGGGCTGGTTATTGAACCCGTATATTGGGCCTTCGTGCTTCTGCAGCGAGCTCGAATTTAGCTACATCTTCTGGAAGCAACTCCAATACAAGATATATGGTGAACTACCAGTGTCAATGAACACTTTATTGACATTATGATTGCCTATATGAACCGTTGCCACAGAGGGATCAGCATGGTGCATCATAATGTCAGGCTCTCCCTCTGCTCGCTTGTAATCTGCCGAGCTGAATGTGATAAGTATATTCTCCCATTCTGCTTCTTCAAACAACCGCTTCAAGGGTCTATTTTTATTGACAGTCATCACCTGTCGGGCATATGCCTTGCGAGCTCGGGCGCTTTGGCCCCTAGAGTGAACACCACCTGATATCATGTTTATTGTACCCGAGGGCGGGGGTATCCCAGCATAGCCTACCCCTTTCTTATCATTTTGGTTGTGGGCAGCAGCCCTCTGCCCCTGTCCTCTCCTGTTGAACGGATGCCCTCTGTATGTCCTGCCCTGCTCCGAAGGATATGAATTGTCCTGATATACATCCTGCGCCCCGCCGAGCTGGTACCTCTGCCCCTGAGGTTGGTCATACCCCTGCACAAAATGAGTTTGAGTGGGTTGCTGGGCGTGGGGCTTCTGAACATATCCTTCTAATTTCCCATTGCGAGCCAAGAACTCCAGTTCGTCCTTCAGATGTTGGCAGTCTTCTGTGTTGTGACCATAAGTACGATGGTAGTCACAATGCTTGCTCTTGTCCGCCCTTGGGGACTCATACAGTGGGGGTGGGGGTCTTCTAACCCAGTGTTGTATTTGTGCAAGGATTTGGGACCTGGGCAAGGTTAAAGGAATGTAGTTGGCATACTTGGGGAAGTCAGCGGGCTTCCCCCACTGCTCGTTGACTTTCTGCTTCTTTTTCTCTTCCCTTCTCGGTGGCTGTTCCTGGCTTTTGTTCTGTTTATCGTTAGCTCGTCGCTTGGACGACTGGAAGTCTTCTGATAATATGAAGCTAGCCGACCTGTCATTCACCTCGTTCCAAGTTCTAGGTGGGTTTTCTAGGAGGTCGTCCAAGAACCTGCCACGCTTTAGACCATGTAGCAAGGCAGACAGGCAGATGGTATTTGGGACGTTATCAATGTCCAAAGTAGCTTTATTGAATCGCTGCATGTAGTCCCTCAGAGATTCCCCTTCCTTTGGATTAACTTGCATCAGCTCGGTTGCTGTGCGTTTGATCTCTCTCTGGCTCGCAAATTTGTTAGAAAATAGCTTGGCGAGCTGGGAGTATGAGTCTATAGAATGTCTGGGGAGCTTGTGATACCATCTCCTGGCTGTTGATTTCAGTGTCGCTGGGAACACTTTGCACATCATGGCATCATTGGCATTTTGGATTCTCATGATGGCTTGATAGGTGTGCAGATGTTCATCTGGGTCACCCGAGCCATCATATGTCTCCAGGTGGGGAATCTTGAATCCCTCTTGATATGGTTCCGCTGTGATGGATAAGTTCAATGGAGCACTATCCAAATCAAGGGTTTGCTGGTGCGACCTGGGACTTTTCAGCTCGTCAATGGACTTCTGTACGTCCCGCAGCTGCCTTTCAAGGTCTGCGTTTTTTCTCATCAATTCTTCACTATGCTTGGACGAATTGGGTTCGTTATTCAACTTCCCACTTCCCCTTGGCCTGGTCGGCACCACCACGTTGCTTAGAGCAGGGGAATTTCGAGTTGCAACAACCGTAGCTGGTTGTGCATCCCGGTTCAACAAAGGAATCAGGGGGTCGTCTGGAATCAGGCGGGCAAGGATCTTACCCATTGCCATTTTGAGAACTCTGGTTCTCTCTTCGAGCTCGGTTGTCCGAGCAGGTTCTGTTGACCTTTCAGGTCGTTCATGCTGTGAATTGTGTGGTCCAGAAGGTCTTTGTCTTGTTCTTGTTGGTACTTGGAACTGTTCAGGCTGGGTTGCATACCCAGTTGATGTTCTTTCATCATCTGTTTCACTTAGGTGATCCTATTCAGCACCCCCAACGAAGAGGTTTCTTGGCATTGGCCTAAAGTCATTCAACCCGGGTTTAGATACTTGAGCGTCCTCCTATTCGTCCATCTCATTTCTTGGGGGGCGACCTCCTGTAAAAGTTCGAACCATTTTGTCTTTTAGCAGGTTAAGTTACACAACTTCTTGTTCAGTTTCCCACAGACGGCGCCAAATGTTTGGGCAGCTTTGCAGTCCAACACTGTTGAAGTCCTTAGCTGCTTCTACACCTGAAAATCCTGAGGTTGTTTCCTCGGGGAAAACACTCCAACGCTCAAGTCAGCAATACTCAATATTCTAGAGAGAGATGCTCTCAAGGAGTAATTGCAGAAAGAGAAGCGTCGAGATTAATTACCTTCACTGTTGGTGGTTGGGGGGTATTTATAGCCCCAGATGCTGACATGCATCCATACATGTAAGTGACTCATTGGCCCACGTGGTGCTGCTCACGTGGGTATGCTTCCTCCTCTTGGGCCTGTGGGTGTATAGTTGGGCTTGCTATATGTGGCCCGAAGTGGGCGGTGGGCCTAATCCCAACACCTAGCTTCACGGTCGTAGATCGAAAGCACTGTTTAGAGAGTTTTCAAAGGGTATAAGCCACTAATCAAGCCAAGAAATCAAAGATATAAATCAAAGATATAGTTAGCACTAATTATGCAGATTGTATCAACAATTACTGTGCAGATTGTATTTCCTTTTCTGGTAGCATGATTCTAGGCAACCATCGTGTATATAGAGATTGTACCTAATGTAATGTGATTCTGTTCTAGTTCAAATCCTTTTCTTTACTGCTCTTTTCATGGTATCAGAGCATAGGGAGAATAGTTAGACGGCAAGTGTTTTGCCCAGACTTTGATAGCAAGATCTTGCAACAACCATCAATTTAGATATGGCAGGGAACGAGTCAAAGAACCCCAAAGTTCCAAAGACTGCAGATCCCAATTCACCATACTATATGCACCCAAGTGATGATCCTGGGAAGGTATTGGTAGTGAACTCCTTGACAAGAGAAAATTATCATACGTGGAAGAGAGCATTGCAGAACGCTCTCTACGCCAAAAATAAGATGGGCTTTGTAGATAGAACCATCAAGAAGCCATCTGCAGATTCCATTGAGTTCCTTGCTTGGAGTAAGTGTAATTCCATGGTTCTTTCATGGATACAAAACACTATTTCTAAGGACTTGCTGGAAAGTGTTGCATAACCGATAGTGTGAGCGAGGTATGGAGATATGTTTGGAGATATGTTTCCCCTCAACCAACCTCAACCAAACAAACCTTTAAGATCAGCTAGGCTAAGGCCTAGCACAAATGGCACCCTTGGAGCACACACACTAATATAATCCCCTGCAATAACTTTTTCTATCTTTACTTATATATTCTTGATATAGCTTTAAGTAATATCTCTTTCTCACTAAACTTCATCCAAATCAGTGCTTTGCCTATGTGTTTTATAATTAATCAAATTATAATTTGATTGGTTGACGAATCCATCACTTTCCTTCCTTCAAACCAAATACACACTTAGGAGAGATTTTGGCAAAAACCCTTCTTAAGCCCCCAAACTTACCCCAAAAAAGCATTTAAACTCTTAAACTAAAAATGAAGCAGAAATCCCTCAAACTCCTCTAATAATGCAAATAAACCTTTCTCACAAATGGACCAAACAATATTTCATGTTTAATATCACCTTGAAAGCATGGATACCCATGAATGAGAAAGGCTTATTTGCATTATTAGTGGAGTTGAAGAGCTTATCTATTTCGTTTTTAGTTTAAAGGCTTAAATGCCTATCTTGGGCTAAGTTTGGGGGCTTAAGAAGGATTTTTGCCAAAGATTTTTGAATCCCAAAAAAAAAAATTTTGCGTAAAAGTAAAGTTTCTTAAATAATTTCAAATCTTTTTTAAACTAAAATAGTAAATTAGAATATTGTTATCAAAATATTAAATATTAATGGGTGCATCTCTAAAGTGAAACTAATTTAAACTAATTTAAAACTTATTGAAAAATAATTAAAAATATACCAAAATAAATATAAAATATTAGATATGACACAAATAAGGAACAAAACATTATTCTAAGAGGAAACAAAAAATACTCTGTCAAAAATTGAACATAATGTCCATCAACATAACATAATTAATAAAGTAGCATAAGAATATAATATAAAATGTATGCTCTAATTATAGATTCTAAAGTGTTGAAGCATGTAAATTATTAATAAGTAAATATATATCCAAAACTAAGAAGGAACACAGAAGTAAATACTTTTGAGAAAATTAAAGAAAATAAAATATAAAAAAACTGAAAAAAAAAAGAGGCAAATTAAAATTCCACCTAAAAATATTATGGTTTTAAATTGATAAAAAATATTAAATATTAAATCCTAGTCCACATTTAAATACTAAAACTCTAAACCATAAATTTTAAAAACTTCGACCGTTAAATTCTTATTATTAAACTCTAAAATTTTAAAAATCCAAAACTCTAAAATTATAAAATTAAATGTCAAATTCTAAAACATTAAAGTTTAAATTTCTATATTTTCACGTTAAATTTTAAATATTGAAACATAAAATTATTCTACCTAAGTTATAAAAAAAAAAAAAAA